AATCGCTCTGCGGAGATTTACTTATGAGTTATAAAAACAAATATTATTATTAAGTAATCCAATTATTAACTGTGCCATTACTGTTACTAAGTTCGAAGGGTAGAACAAAACAATTGTGTTATTGAAGCAACTATAATATATCTAGTCCCAAATTTTTGCAGTAACTGTTGTGAACTGTATATATTATATAATACTTATATATATATATATATTTACAAAATAGTCGTGTGCGCATTTGCTAACGAACTAGCTCGAATTGATTTTATTACACTGACTCCTGTATACTGTACACATAGGCACACAGCTGGTGTAATAATAATAATAATAATAATAATACTTAGACATTAATCAAGATAAAACAAAAAAGTAAAATAAAAAATGTATTTTCTTGATTACGGTCATTACACACGCGGGCCATGACGATATTATTAACAAAAAAAAAACACGTAAAATCCCCGAACGGACAGGCTTACAGTCATCGCGTTTTGTTAAATGTTAAGTATATATTAATGGAGTTATTACGAAAATGTAATTTTGGACTTGACACAAACAACATATTAGTACAATAATTAATAATAATTATTTTAAAGATAATAACAACGTTTAGGTATGATATATTTAATAGCTTGACACGATCATAATACTAACATGGAGCAATAAAATATGTTTTATATGTAAATAATAGAATATTATTATTATAATTTTCCAATTAAAATTTTAGTATCATTCATATTCAAAATAATACAACATAATAATATTTTGTAAATTTTATCAAAATTTTATTTTTTTTTAATGAAACAAGTTTCCTTAATGATAAATATTCTTAAACATGTATATTGTATAATAATAAACGAAAATGTAATATTATTTAAAAAATTCGTTAGTTGTTATATTATATTTTAATAGAAATAAATTTAAAATAAAGACATAATTAAAGATTATGTTTATATACTTATTTTTTCGAATGACGTCGATCATTATCTTTACTCTCGGCATCTATTATTATTAAAAATAATAATAATATCGATGTCTGGACTTTGTTCTATTGATTTGAAAATCGAAAAGTGTAACACGCGTGTCTATTGTGGTGCATTCAATTGGGAAAATACCTCTCGCAGTGTATTTATTATAAGAGAAACTTGTACGGAACAGAAAGTGTGTGTTTAATGTTCTAACTGAACGTTTGAAAGGAAATTAGTTGAAAAGCGTTTATTATTATTAAAATAAGGTCAACATTGCGACCAAACCGAAAATGACGGATTTACAAGTACTCACCTATGCTTATGTGTGCAGTACGTGTCATTTAACAATATGATTCCACCGGCTTCTGAAATCGGTGTATCGTATTTCGTATATTACAAAAATCGCTTGAAGGACTATTTCCTCGTGAATTTATAACGAGTTTGCTGTAATGCGGCGACGGTTATGAATGTTATGATCATTAAAAAAAAAAAATTGTTTAAATCGCAAAGTATGAAGATGAAAACAGTTTTTTGAATCCGTTTGCATGTATGATCATTTAGAAGATACATAATATTATATTTATATAATACATCCGGAGCGCCTAAAAATAATGATTAATTTTGTCTGAAAATAATATAAATATTTTGAAAAAAATAAGAAAAAAAAAAGGTTCTGTAATCCTGTTGTGTATGTACTTAACCTAACCTACCTAACCATCTATATCTTATACCTTCTACCTAGCGCCTATATCAGCCTATCTTTACTATAAAAGGCATTTTTGATTTACACAGGACGGTGATGATGTGTCCTTCGTTATTTTTTTTTCTCTGTCATGTCATTTGTGCCATTGTTAGCGTTTTATGGCGCTAAAGGCTCGTCGGAGGTACCTTTTCGGAGGAAAAGAAGAATGTTTGTAAAAAAAAAAATTAACCTCGATTTCCTCTGAATACACAAACATTCCAATACAACACACAACCCTCGGGGTGCGGGTTCCTATTGAGAGAGAGAAAAAAAAAATCTGTCTTTTGTATACGGAAGACATTAAGATTTATATGCGTGCGGCTCACTCACAATTGTCGCCAAGTTATTATTATTTTTCTTTTTGCCCCTAAAGGGACCGATAATAACGCATACACGGGTGTCCTCTTTATCATCCCCCGCGCGGCGATGGCGCACACACATATTACTAACACTACAGAGGATGCGCTACAATACACACACATACACGCACACACACGCTCACGCAGGCAAACCGTAAAATCCGTGGACATAATAATTCATCTCAACTGTGGGGCGGGTGTCAGGTTTCTCGGCAACGCTTACTCGTGCCCAAAATTTCGGTACCGATTGTTTTTTTTCTCTCTCCTTTTCTCGTTTGAAAATTAAAAGCCGCACATAATATATTGTATACGTTATTATATTGTGTTGTTGTATACAACGACCCGTGAAAGACCGAAACGTATATTATATACACGAATATTTATATTGATCTATTGCATTTTCGCGGTAACTTTACTTCAACATTATAATATACACAATAAAACGGGACGGATTAAAAGATAAACGCAAATATAACAATATAATATAATATAAATTATTACTTGGGTGTGCGCATTTGTATTTATATTATACGCTCCGCTGGTTAATAAGTCGTTGCGATAGTTAAATTCATTTCGACTTAGGGATTTATATACCTACACAATGTTTCGAAATATCGTACTACAGTAGTGATGTGATACTGCAGTTTACGACCACTGCTGCAGCATTATAATGTATGGCATTAAACATTAAAAGGATGATGCTACTACACGTTCTACCAGCAAACATGCGCGTACAATTTTTTTTTCGTTTTAAACATTTGACATTTTGATATTCTTGTCCACGCGCCGTTGTCAATACAGCGATTTCGTCGGTGTACCTACTATTCAAGTATTCATGCGAGTTGATTTAAATACATATTTGGTATCGGTATACATTTATATGTATAATAATTCTTGACCATATTGAATATTAATGTCTAACGAAGACGTGATAACGATTGTAGCTTGCCTTTTATTCCGGTGTTATGCACACTGCTATAATACATTGAACAATGGTTTATAATGTTTGTATAGCCTTACTAATTTTTTATTTTTCGCATCTCGCCTTGTAAATTTTAATTGGGACGTTCGTCGCGATCGGACGGAAACACAAACTATACAAGTCGTAACTCACCGTTTGCATATAATAATGCTGTACTGTATAATACATTTATATAGGAAATTGTCCGAAGTGCGAGAACGATTTATATTATTATAGCGAGTGGCGCGACACTATAAATCACGGTAAAACGTAAAAACAACTAATGATAGCGTATATTTTAAAAGTAGAGGTACACCCGTGTAATATGTCAAGTGGAAAACTATACATGTAACCATTGTATATTATAATAAAAAATAATTAATATTATGTAAAAATTCTCGAAAAAAAAATAAATATATTCGAGTATTCATAATCGTTTATCAGTAATTACAACTTAATGCATATGGACAGATAAAGTTGAAAAACCAATTGTTTATGTATTATAAATCCATGTGAATAAATTCTTTGTTTCAATACTATCAACGTATTTTGCATATTTGTATTGTTTTCGTCATATGTACTTTCCAAATATATACGAACGGTTGTCTATACTGATTATTTATTCGTTTCAATGAACTTTAATAGATCGTTATATAAATAATCAATATATATATATATATATATATATATATATAACATAAAATACCTGTACAAAATAGCATTGACAATATTTGTTAATGGCTAAAGTTATAAATTATAACTTGATACAACACTAACGTATAGTAAATTGAAAATATACTTTTATATGTGAATAAACGACCACATTTGGAATTGCGCTTAGTAGTTAATTTGATTTATATTCTAGCTGGTTTATATGAAAATAAATTCGAATGACAGTATAATGTTACCGATGTTATTTCAAGGAACCGTTCATCAGATGATTAAGCTAAAGCGTGTTAAGTAAATATTACTATTAGTTGTATACAGTTCCAGTTCACCTTTGGCTTACAGCCCAATTACTTAATTCGTTCAGTGTTTTTGTAGGGATTTAGATTGATATTTATGTCAGGAAGCAATGGGTCAGAGGAATCTTAAACTTAAACACGATTTTAGAAAATTAATTATTTTAATGGGATTTTATCCAAGAACTTAAAATAAAATGGAACATCTGCAGATAACGTTACAGTCTTGTAAGATTTAGTTTGTTGTTAAGTCTTTTTAATACAGTTTTATCCTTTGATTAAAATTCATTCAATTTGAATTAATTGACCCATTGGAGTCAGAGCTACAGAATGTATTTTACATTGTACCAACATTTATATATTCTTACACGTATGTAAGAGTATATACTATTAGACTTAAGAACTAACACAATACTTAGTTAATACAATTATAATTTTGCACAATATTAGGTCCTTATACTTAAATATTTTATTAATTGAGTTGTTCAGATTGTTTTTATATATAATATAATCATAAATTGCAAAAATATTTTGGAGATTGTCGGCATCCTGTAGTATCCCCTAGCTAAATTTGGAACGCTGCGGTCAATTGAGGTTAAAATAAAATTTATAAATATAAAAACAACAACAATAATATACAAACTGCAACTGCTGTCCCCACAATCCAAAGATACTGTAGCAAGGCTTTTAAAATTGTGTTTTGGCGACTGTCCATGGCGCGGTGTTTATGGTTTACTATGTAATAATAATAATAATAATAATAATAATAATAATAATAATAATAATAATGATATAGTTTGGACATGTTGATTACAATGAATTATTACCCGACAACGGGATTCTCGTAGTGACAGGAAGGTTCTGAAAGAAAAATACACACTCGCACAATACATGTATATCGTATATTATATTTATGTACACACGAAGTTTTATTACCGATTTCTTTGGATATATGTGCCGTTCGATGAATACGTCTTATTCTGGAAGTAATTTATCGTTTTCTTATGTTTGCAGGAGACAATCTAAAAGTGTGTCAGTCGAGGAAGAGCTGTTGCAACGCCGCCACCGAGGCTCGGTTGATAGACATGGTAGACAACGAATATAAGAGACACCTGGCCGCACAGGCGGGCTACGTTTATGACCTGCTCAATTCTACCGCCCATCACTTGCAAGGTAAACAGAAAACAAAATTAAATAAGAAAAATAAGAGAGAAAAAATACACACAAAATGTGCTCCAGGGACGACACGCGCCCCCGCTGGTGTTTTATTTATATATATAATATTATGTTATGGCTTATGTATATGAGGAGGCGGCTGGTCGTAAAAAAATAAAATAAATCCATAGAGATATCTTTTGCTACTATTATTATTATTTTATAATAATAATATTACAGCTACGTTATATTATGGGCAAAAAAAAGTCACCGAAATCGCTATATAAGACTGCGCATGAATGAATTTAATAAACGATTATTTCGATCCATGGCCAAGAGGTCGGATTTCGAGGTATCTTCTTACGTTTATGAACCTCTAAAATGTGTAAATACACAGTACTCTGGGGAAGAGGCCGACAACTGTCTATTTTTATTTAACCGACAATTTGCGTTCATTGCCCTTTTATTATTATGTGAATGTTCATAATTTTTTTCGTAATAAATCAATATTAACACCTGATGGCACCGAACAGGTATGCTATAAAAGTATAACCTAAGTTTTGTTATTGGTTTATTATTAAAACTTTAAAATTTGCAGTTAATTTAATATAGAGTCACAACAATTTAAATATGTAATAAATAGTTATAATGTATTATAAAACACGTTGATAAAATCACTCACCTTCATTTGATTACTAAAATTCCCTGCAGGTTTTTCTTAAACAAAGTTCTAAAATCTGATCGCAAAATTTATTCAATCAATAAAACTTCTATACTTTTTTTTAAACGTGTCCATGCATAACTTAAATCGAATTCCAACTAGCTCATCAGTAGTTTAACTTCAAAGACACTTATATTCCACTCAAACGTCTTAAATCGAACTCTTGTCGTGAACTAGAACATTTGAATAATTTAAAACTCTAAAGTTTCTCAATAACAGTATGATTTACTTTCATGTTTTTTATTTTCATGTCTCTTGTAGCTAATTTTAAACATTTAGATTACTAAATTGTAATTAAAAAAAAAAATAAAGATCCTAATTTAAAAAAAAAAATAATAATAATAAAATTATAAAATACAAGTATGAATATGTTAACATTTTTAATTTTAAAATGTATTTTTATACAAATAACTAAAAATTCTTTTGTTAATTAAATTTTTTCAACTTAATTTTTGTATTATAAAAGTCTGAAAAATATTTTTTAGTATAGATTATAGAAGGTAAAATAAATATAATCAATAGTTATATTACATTGTAAGTTATTTCATGTACTCATGTATGTAAAATTAAATTTAAAAAAGTAAATATTTTACAACACTTTCTATTGTTTTAGTTACAATTTATTTATAAAAAAAGATTAATTTTAATATTTATTTTTTTAAATCATCCTTATAAATTAATATAAAATAACAATAATCTAATTACAATATAGAATATATTATTTAATCAGATTTTCCAACATATACCTACACTTAAAGCTGTGGTATTATCATTTATCGTTCATATTTGCTCTAAAACAGTTTTCAGCCCAAATTATGTGCATTATTAGATACGATATTTTACTCAGAACAATTAGCTTTTACGTTAGCAACCTTTAAATTATTAGACATAACTATATTATATACATGGTGTGTTACAAAGTATACTATTTTTACTACTACGACGTGAATAAATATTTTAAATTACTCAAAAATATTTAGACCATCGATTATACATATATATAAAATATATATATATTATATAACATAAAATTAGGAATACCAGGAAAACTTAAGATTATTTGAGAAGTCAAGAATTTACCAACTACTGCTGATAAATAGCAGAATTTCAAACTTTAACCAATTTATCTTGACCAATTCTAACATATACAAATTATTAATTTGATTAAATATCATACGAAGGATAACTATGACTTTTACAAGCGAGAAATTGTAAAATTTTAAAATAAACAGTTTATTACGATTTATGATAGACATCTAAAGTATAAAAAAGTAAGTCATAATCGAGTAAAATGAAATTAAAATTAAAATTTGAAACTTGTTCTACTTAATATTTTATATTTCAATTAATTTTGATAGTAATAAATGTAATAATATTGATGATAAATTTAATATACTACATTTAACTATATTTTTAACAAATAATATATTTTTAAATCTTTTTAATGTATTTATCGATGCTATGGTTAAACATTCACTAATAAATTTCAACAGAAATTTTAATAAATTTTAATTTTAATTTTATATTTAGTTCAAAATTTGTTTATAATCATTTTCATAAAATAATTTATATTGAATCATAATTTAAAAGATATATAAAACTAAAAAAAAAAAACGTTGTAAAATGTATCTTATTTTCTTATACTACATCAATACTATATTTAAACAAATTTATAATAATTTTGTTTCATCGTTACTAACCCATATTTTACCTGTATGTATAAATAGTGTAATATAAAAATTTCTTGATCATCTATATCCTATTCTAATAATTTGTAATATCAATTCCTCTTTCTATATAAGTAACAATATTTAATATATAATATATGATATAACGTTATCGAAGAGTAATAAAACGGTATTTAATCGCACCTACAAACGGTGAACATGCAGTAATATTGTTTTGGCGTGTGAACCGCCCCCGGCCGAAACGTCTCGCACCGTATATCGTATACGTACGTGTATTGTACACACAATATATCTTATATATACACGCTTTGTGGTGTTATGAAATGACAGAGTATATAAAATAGTTTATCCAATAACGAAACGAATATAAAAAATAATTTAATAATCACCTATACCACGCGGCGATAACCATCTCGACCTGTACCAGGAGCAGCCGCCTGCAAGGGGTTGCGCGCGTACATTGCGTTATGGCGATTGTTGATCGTCCATTTTTTTCACATCTTTTCAAAAACGCGTACCTATATATATTATTATGTTGTATATAGACGAAGTCAAAATTATTAATCGGCTACAAATAATTATGGCACACGATGGGGGTGTCCTTTTTTTTCTTTCACTTTCACATAACATTATACATTATATGTTTTCAATATACAGTATATACACTTAATATAAATCGCGAAATACCCGTTAAATGTGTGCGTTTTGTTTGATCGAATGATTCGGGAATATAATAAAATATCCTAAGAAGTTCTTTATAAAATATATGTATATATATTAAATATTGTCTATTACATATTATAGTGATCCATTTACACGACTACACTATTAAGTCCAATTTTGTATGTAAAAATATTGATTATATAATTTTAACTCTGAAGTAGGCATTAAATTTAATCACTATGTATTTTTAAAATGTTTTGTTTAATCTTTTCAAAAAAAATATAAAATGTTTGTACTTTGAATTAGTGTAAACTACAAACTTTTCTAAAATCGTTGAAGTGTCATAATAATATGATATGAATAGTTTTTCGTCTGAAGCTTAAAATCTAAATCTCAGATGAATCGAGTAAAACGACAAAGGGTACACCACTACTCCGTAAAAGTTGTGATTTCCTATTCCGGTCAACTTGTAATATTATAAATCAAATCTTCGATAATGAAATAAGTAGAAAATTATTACTTTTCTCGTAAATGCTTTTCAGTATTTTACCTCAACTTTTAGTCATAAAGTTTTGTTCATATTAAAGTTGAGTTTAAACTATATAATTTTTTTTTTAAACCACTAAAATGTATTCAGTAAATTGTCGTAGCTACCTGTAATCAAACAAATTAGACCTTAGAACACATGAATTTCACTACGCTTTCGGGATCGCAGCGGCAACTGCGCCATTCTTGCTGGTCGTTGATGACGTGTCTGGATCACGATTCGCGGCTCACAGCTGCAGCAGCAGTCCGGTTTGTCCGTAAACTCGTCGTAAATAATATAATGGGTACATTATAACGTACAGTATATTATTGTTATCAATAATGTGTTTAGCCCAGTAGATGCATTATGGGAGTGAGATATATATATACAAGTACCTACCTATATACACACACACACACACACACGACGCGCGCGTCGGTCGGTCGGTCTCACATTTGATGCTCCTGTAGACAATAATAATAATATAATAACATACAATATCCTATAAATCCCGACAGTGTATGTATACATAAAAATATATTTTCACCCCGGTTGACGAATGACGGTGAATAATCGTTCATTTCGGTATACTGCACACCGGCACGACACGCAGGCCGCCGCATTCCAGCGATAGACCTCCCCCCGGCCGCCGCGGGCGACGTCCTCCGGGCACTATAGAAAACTGCATTCCAGTCCAGATCGGCGGGTCCCATTCAATTGTTTCTTGTATATATTTCCCTCTCCTCCAACCACTCTTTTACTTCTGTTTCATATAATCTGATTTTATTATTATTTCATTTCATTTTCATATTTTTATCCTCGCGTATCTATAAATACACGTATTACATGATATTATACCGCCTTATTAAACCCGTTGCGCGTTACCCGCGGCCCCAACAGCACATAATGATATTATAACAGCATACATAATGTGAGTATAATAATGATAAATATATTATTATGTCAGGCAATTTGATCTTGCCCAGGCAAATTCAATCACGAATACAAACAAATTTGGTTTTGTACAATTTTATTTTATGTTAAGTTTATTATTAGTTATTATTTATAATTATATAAAACTGATGGAAAAACGAAAAATAAAAATTATATTATTGATTATAGTTTTATTATATTCTTAATATTTTAAAACAATTATAAAAATTATAATAAATAATACCTTTATCCTTATGTATTGATAATGGATGATCAATACATTTGTACCCAGCTTTATAAAATAAATAAATGTAAATGAAAATAATCAGATAGATACTGCAATTCTAGTGTTATTATTCTAATAAATCTCGCACAATTAAATAAATAATGATAAAATTATAATAATTTATAAATAATAATATAATCATTAATTTGTTAATTTGTTTTTGTTTTTTAAACAATACTATAAAATTATTATTAGTAATAATAAACTTAATCTTTGTATTGCACAAAAAAATATTTTTTTTAATGATTTGCAACTTAAATTACTTGTATACATGTATACATAATTAAAAGACGGGTAAGTACATAAGTACATCACACGTACAAAGCGCGATGATCCGTTTCCAAAAATATGTGTTATGTTATTATATTATGTCTTAATACACTTACAACGATAGCGTGTACATTAATTGTAAATTAGTCGTTAAATTCACATACATAAGTATATATATACTGGTGTGTAACCTCCACAGCTAATGCATGCTGCACCGAGATACTCACGTCCCGGTTAGTGACGCGATCCCCAATCCAAGCTTATCAAACGACACATGTCGTCGGACACGACCTATATAATTATAATATAATAATATATATTACTAGTATAATAATATCAATTGAAACGATTGATATTACAAGTAAAATTACATCAATCGAAATGATTGTCGACGAATTCGTCAACTTCACGAAGTCTTCATCACAAAATGATTATTATGATCCATTAAGTTAGAGTGATCGACGCGTTAATATGTGCGTAATTGCTCATGTGGTACGCATTGCAATATACCTAATTATAGATACGAATTATATTTGCTATATATCATGTGTGTATATAATATATTTTAATTTTCACATTTAAACACTAACAATTGTTGTGCTAATTTTATTACATAATATATGTATAATCGACAGAGAGTAGATTATCATATTATGAAGTACAATATTTTATTATTATTTACTAAGTACGTTAGTGGTTATAAATTGTACGTTTTCGTTGTGTTCAAGAGCACATAAAAATTAATTATTGCTAAAAAGAGTACGAATTTAGGTAATGATACTCTACGTATACATACGCGTATATAATATATGCATGTACTTATGTTATAAAATATAATATTCACAATTTCACATATCCACTTCAAGTTATTCGAAATAAAATTGCAGTAATAAAAATATATGAAGGTAATTATTTCTTCCTTTTTTCATACTCGATTCAAATTATATTCGTTGTCTGCGTAAACTGCAAAATATGCAAATATAGTATGCAAATTATATTTTATTGTATCTTTGTCTATAGTCGAGGGCAGGGTTGCTAAGTACCTATATGATCACAGCTAATTGGTAATTATTGCTATCATATGCTAAAATACATATTTAGGTGTACCTTTTTTATTTTTTAACTTAGTTTTTTGTATACATAAAAATATATCTTGTAAATACCTATATATAATTTATACCTACGACCATAAGCGATTATAATTTTCCATAAAATCAACTCGAGATCTACCAATTTTTTTTTCTTCGAAATCGTCGATTGAGTTAGATGATTTTCATGGAACTCGTGACAAAAAAAATAAAACGGAAAATTAATAAGGATTCTAATATGTTTTCATAATTTTCGTTTTCATCCACGCAGATATAGGTACAAGTATACAACAGAAATAATATCTTCTTGTCATACGACTAAATCAGTGTAACAACATAATATTATAATACCTATATTAGTATGATATTACGTGCGTGCGTGCAGATAATACGCAGACCACAGAGACGCATCAAATCGCATATTGGCTGTATCCCTTACCACCGTTATAATAATAATAATAATAATAAAAGATATCACATTATTGTCTAGCCTTATAACTTTATAATATAATATAGTAGAGGGTGGTTCGAATTTCGAAATCCGAGATGATCGCATGCGTATTAAACGCGCGTATATGTATCAACCTAAGTCCACTATAGTTCCCCGACGGTTCAAACGTGTCTTTGTTTAGTAATAATAGGATGTATTGGACCAATTTGTAATTATTTAGACAAGTGGATGCGTTGATGAAATAGTATTAAAACGATTTGAATTTTATTTAATCACCGCAAAAAGGTTGTATCTTATAAATGCGTGTTAAATTAATTATTTATTTTAGAAGATTTAAAAATGTTTAGAGTTGGCACATATAGGAGATAAAATGATACCTTTGCCTCTCCCCTCTCCACAATTACGCCACTTGTTATGATATCATACTACGATCGTTTCGTTTCAGAACACATGACGCACATGATTCGAAAGTCCAAAAGCAAAACAGTTAGGGTACTGGCGGACGTATACGCAAGCATCGAAGGACCAGCCTCTGGTCCATTGGACGCGTTCTATGGACGCCTGTCGCGGTACGTGCACGAGGACCCGGAAACAACCCCGGCGTCGAGCTTAGAAGATGCAGCTTCTCGGTTGTTCACTGACCTATTTCCGATAGTCTACCGAACAGTGGCCGTGGCGGCCGACAGACCGGATGGCGAAGCGTCAGAGTTCGACGAGGATTACGTTCAGTGTCTAACCGGTAAAGCATTAGACGTTAAACCGTTCGGAGACGTGCCGTACACATTGGCCAAGGACATTTCCAGGACGTTTTCCGCTACCAACGTACTCGTACACGCACTCAGGTAATAAATTGTATAGATAAACGATAACAAAAGTTTTGTTAAAGATTTTATTTTTAAACGATTTTTAGAGTCTTTTCACGTTTCCATTTCGGTGATGATCAATATTTTTATAGAAAAGTACTGAAAATAAAAAAATATAGTCAAATGTATGAAATAATATGTTTGTTTTTTCGAATAGTTTTATTTTAACTTTTAATAATAATTATAAAACCGTTCTAACGATTTTTTTGAAAAAAAAAATCAAATTTCACATTGCAGTATCCATTATTATTTAAAATATTTCAATATTTGCAAGATACAACAAATATTATTTTGATATCGTCCAATAAATTATTACCTATTTAAATATAGCTATAATATACTATACTATTTTTTAAATTTAAATTTATAAATTATATAACTTATTACAAATTACAAGTCCCAAAATATCACGTAACTGCGTACAGTCGTCTTCGTCCCCGACACCAATTGATGATAATTAATAATGCATTCAGCAAATAATTTGCAACTTAAAATCGCGCATGAATGTCAATTAAGTCTTTAATTTCATCACTTAAATATAACGAATTTATTATATTATTTCTGTAGATACGGCGGCCAACTGGTGGACGAAGAACACTCCCGGTCGTGGCTAGGTTATGGAAATAGGGAACAGTGTTTGGCGGCACTGACAAAGATGAGACAGTGCTCATGGTGCGACGGCAAGGACGCGAAACCGTGTCACGGGCTGTGCGTGAACGTGATTCGCGGGTGTCTAGCCAGGGAGACGGCGCACCTGGACGCGCCGTGGACCGGATACTACGAGGCCGTCGACCGGCTGGTGTCTGCTATCAACAACGGTCAGTCGTCGGTGTGTCTGGAGGACCTACTCAGATCCCTGCATTCAAGGATATCCGAGGCCATCATGTACGCGATGAACCACGCTTCCGATATACAAAACAACGTGAGTAGGATTTTATATATTATTCTTTTGTCCGACTCTTTTGTTGAACCGCGTGAGATAGTTACAGGTACTTATTAACCATATACCCCTCTCTGTAATATGGCCCTAATTGTTATAATTATCTCACAGACTTGTTGTCACATCAATGGATTTTCGACAATATAGCCGTAAAAAACATTTAGTAGATTTGTTGCTCACCGTATTCTCTTTTTTTTAATTTGTTTATCTTATTTACCTTCAAATACCGGGCACTGGTGTATGACTAACGGTTACATCTATACAGAATATATACCACAAAATATTGAAATAATTATTGTGAATTGTTATACCTATTGCAGATTTGTTTAAAAATCTGATTATATTAATTCATTTGTATTATATAATATACGTAAGTTACTAAGTACGTGTATTTTTACTCGTCAAATTTATATTAATTTTTTTTATTATTCGTTTCCGATTTGCATTTACTTATCTTTCATTCTGTTTATTCTGTTTGTCGTAATAAAATCTTTAGACTAGGTAAAACGTACGAAACAATCGTTACGAGTTCGTTTGATTACGTTTTATTTATCATATTATAATTACTCAAATTTATTTAATAAGCTTCTTGGCGACTCGAGCGTGTTGTTAAATTGAGGTCAATCCTGATTATATTCATAAAGTTTTTACCCGTGATAACGAAATTCGTGGACGTATAAAATACCACGTGCCGTACGTGTGTGTGCGTGTGTTGAATGTATATTTTTGTGCAATCTCTAATGAGAAAATGACGCGGTTGGAATATTTAGGTACCTTGTTACCTATACATCGCGGAAAGCCGAAACCAAACGTTGTTCTTACGAGAGATGAAACGAAAGACCAGGTGGTCCGAACTCATGGAATTCAAATGTATGGCGATTCCCCTGCAGATATCAATGACTCTGGGCGATCGGATATCTCCGACACGGTTTTACTGAATGATTCGGGCGGTATAATAACAATATAATACGTGCCCATTATAATATGTATAACGTATACGCGCGGCCGACGTCGGGACCCGAAATACCGACCAGACGGATCGGTGCGCCTAGTAGCGCCACCTGAGATCACGAGACAACGATGTGCATATCGTCGTCGTCGTCGTCGGGGCGAGGACCGGTGCAACGCGTATGACTCATCTCAATGAAATGCTGGACTTCTATTGGTCCGGCGAGAGGAATTCCGATCTGCCGGCACCTTTCACACATACACACGCAAATGCACGTGTAGACTTGCATACTGCATTATACTTATATGTATATACACACAGACGTAGGCGTGTACACAAACGCACAACCCTTCCGATACTAAACTCGATTTACCATATTTGGACCGGTTCCAACTCGCACATACATTCACACACACAAACGCGCGAGTGCGCGCGCTACATCTCTTTACAATCTGCATTTACCTATATACATTATATATTATATTTACAAGCAGAACCCCGTGCACATACATAACTATATATTATGTAGGTCCACAACAATGTGGGAGCACATAATATGATGGCGAACAATATGAGACGAATTCGGTCGATTTGTATAGCGCTAACGAGGTGCCGACGGTATGTTGCAGTGCAGGAAAAACAGGACATTCGATTGCGGTACACCTACACCCCCTCCATGGTACGGGGTTGGAAACCCGTCAACTGAGTTTTGTTTAAAACCTTACGTTAGGCATGGTACCAATAAGCACTGCACAATAGGTGGTATATTACTATCGTTATTGAAACGACAAGTTTTGTCGGAATTCATTTTGCGATATCAATATAATAATAATTTTTGAGTGTTTTTCGTTGACGTTACAAAATAAATCGATTATCGTGTCTAGAAACCGTTTTAAAAATGTCTACTGATTATACGTAACCGAACGATAAATCATCATCCAAATGTCGTTGTTTCCTTTCGTTTTATAACGAAGTGATGGTATTGTGAGTGTATAGAAGAAAAGAATAAAAAACAACCTAATACAATTTGGAAAAATCGTCGATAAAACCATAAAGCAAGAATATGAGAAGTGATAGAATTATATAAATAAACATTATCGTCGGATGGCATACTTACATTTTTCTTGACAGTGTTTTGTTTCAACAAAACTGGGTCAAATTAGTGAAAACTAGGTTTTTGCTATTTTTTAATTTTGTATACATGCCTAGCTTTATATAATATGTATGAAGGTACTCTACTCTTCATAAGAACACGATGGCGGCGTGTGGAACGGAACGATCAAAAGGGAAAATAATACGAATTTTGTATTGAAAGAGCGAATATAATAATGAAAGTAATTTTTCTAATATTAAGAACACATTATTTTGAATGAAGAATAAAGTAAAATTGGGGTAATAAGAGAAAATTGATAAAAGAAAAGTGAAACGAAAATGGTAAATGTTTAAAATTGTAATTTATTTCATATGAAGAAAATAGTAATAGTTTACTTTAACAAAAGTCTCAGACTTTTGTATAATTTAAATGACGAGTCTACAATGTTATTTATTTTGAGAATACAGGGTGTGGTAAATTCAAATAAATTATCAATACATCGTTATGAATAATTTATTACAGTATACTCGTCTTGAGCGCGTTATACGTAGCTCGCTCTGTTTTTAAATATATATATATATAATTAGAAGAGTCGTTACAAATACAAACGTATTTAAGTACGTATAATTATTATTAATAATCTGCGATTAGCCATATATGTATTTCTAAAGAAAGCACATAACAGTGCAATGGTATGGAAATCACACTGTATATTTTAAGACAGGAATGGTTAATATACCGAGTTAAGGCTAACGATTTATATGTGTGACAAGATTATATGCATGGCAACGACGTCGGCGAACGATGCATTTTTAGCGTGTACCTCGGAATGGAATGTCGCCGTGCAGTTGGTTTATTTTTACCGGGCGTAAAAAAAAAGATAGAAACACACATACGTACACACAGAGGGAGAGTGAAATAGTGTACGGAAGAGGGATAGGGAGAGAGTGTGTGTGTGTGTGAGAGAGAGAGAAGTCGGTGTATCATTGGCAACAGGAAATTTCTTATTAGAACCCGAGTGAAGAACGGGTGTCTGGCTCCCCAATAAATCTGTCGCGAGTAAAAATTCCAACGTTCGTGCCAAAAATAAGACCATTTCGTACTAGATTTGTCCCCCGAGTGCTATAAACCCTTTAAAAAGTTCAACAGGATGGGTTCCACGCGTAATATATTTTATTTTCATTTATAAAATACTTTTAAATTTAATAAGCCCACAAACCAATATAAGTTTAACACTCAAAACTTAATGCCAACAGTTTAGTATTATACCTTGGTATTTTGTTGACTGTTTGAACTTGGTAAAGTAATGCAATTACAAATTACATGCTACCTATATAGTATATCGATAGTTGATTTTATTTTGCTTGTTAAATTACGAATAGAGTGGTTGTATGAATAATCGTATTAAAATGTTATAATAGTATTTTACCATATACTCAAAATGTATTGCATATTATATTATGTTAGTCGATAAATGTTGAAACAAAAATTATTTTATACGTTTCATCAAACATCAATGTTTTATGCGAATTATACAATTTCAGATTGACATATAATTAGTAACACATAATAACAATATTATGCCTATTTAGAATAAAACATAAAATTATATATCCATAGGGAAAATCATCGGTACTCAAAATACTATAGGTGTTAATAAGTTACTACTAATGACCTTATATCAAGTTGAAATTTTGATTTATACATACATATCTAGTTTGTACTCGTATATTAATTACTCACGTAAATTCCGTACACGTAAGCGAGTATATAATTTCTGAATCCCCTAGAGCAATGTTTTTTTTTTCATTGAATAAAGTTATACTATAGAATAGGTTTATCGTACGCGTTTAAAATAATAATAATAAAAAAATTATGCAGATTGCCTCGCGATATAAAATGGTCAAAAACCCAACTTTTTATAGGAATATTTTAAATTTAAATTGATACGTATACAACGTTAAGACGAGATAAATAAATACCTAATTTGTTAATATTTAAACTTAACGATAAATTAAAAACTTATTATAAGTATTACATATTATAATATGTTATACAACATTCGAAATGATACTGAATATTAAGTGGCAAGTATCAATATTAGTTTTAACTATAATTTAGTATTGTAAACCATACAATAATAGCTTAATAAATTATGTGGTAAAACATTAATTTTGTATTAAAAAAAGTAAATATTTTAATGGTTTATGACTATGAGTTAAAAAAAAATAAACAATTTTTAACAAAAGTCAGTTGTGCGTGCAAATATAATTATAATAATACAATAAATTATACATAATATAAGCAATAATGTATGGCTGCCGAATCGATATTTGTATTTTGTATATGGTTTCGACATGCCAGATGATGTTCGATATCTCGTGATTAATCACGAAAAGTAAAACGAAACTGTTATGGCCTCTGGTATACGGAAAGAGGGAGAAAAAATAAAAACAAAAAATCTAAAGTGGGTATAGCTATAGAAAAAAAAACCTGAGAGTAATCGATGATGTGTTATGACGCGTTTCGAATCTGTCGATTGTGTTTAGTTAAATATATATAATTATACGGGGCATTCACCGTATATCTTGTACATGTATAATATAATATGCTGTTCGTTTGAATTGTGTCGCGATCAACGCGAATCGTTTTATATATTGTACAGACAAGGTGTGTATAATAGTTGTCGAGTGTGTTGGTTCCGATATAATAACAGTGCACTGCATGGCCACAACTTGTAATTATTCGATGGTTAAACGCACATATGACGTGTTAAATACCTATAAACACATTTAAGCATCTTTTAAAAACCACATATTTCAAAGTACATTAAAAAAATAGTGCAACTTATTGCTGTGGATGAAATACAATAAAACAAAATCTTAAGATACATAAAAAATACAAAACTGTAGTTTTATAATATAACATATTTTTGCCTTT